ACTTTCTTTTCTTTTGCTGGAACAGAAAACCCTTCTGGTTGTTCCATGTAAATTTCTTCATTTAACTCACCATTTAAGAAAGCGGTTTTCACATCCATTTGATGAATTTCTAGATTGTATAGAGATGCAATGGCAATTAGCATTCTAATGGATGTTATTCTAGTAACCGGTGAGTATGTGTCAAAGTAATCAAGATCTTCTTTTTGTCTAAATCCTTTGACCACAAGTCTTGCCTTGTATTTGTCAATTGATCCATATGCTTTCAATTTTCTTTTGAAAATTCACTTGTACCCAAGAGGTTTACAACCTGGTGGCAAATCCACCAATTCCCAAGTTTGATTTTGCAAGATGGATTCAACTTCACTGTTGATAGCTTCTTTCCATAAAGGAGCTTCAGGACTGGACATAGTCTTTTTAAAAGTTAAAGGCTCATTTTCTACCATATATGTTAGAAAATCTGGACCGAAAGATTTTGAGGTTCTAGCACGTTTACTACGCCTAGGTTTCTCTTCCTCATTTTGATCTAACTCTTGCTCTTGATCATGTTCTTGATCCTAACTAGTAATAGCATCATAAGATCTTTTATTACTACTAGTCCCTTGTCCAGTCTTATTTGGAAATACATGTTCAAAGAATGATGCATTCCGAGACTCAATAGTATTTACATGCATTTCGGTATGTTCTGATTTATGAATCAAAAACCGATATGCACTACTATTCTTAGCATAACCAATGAAAATGCAATCAATGGTCTTAGGACCTATCGTCTTTTTAGGACTAGGAATAGTCACTTTAGCCAAACACCCCCACACTTTTAAGTATTTGTATGATGGTACTCTTCCATGCCACAATTCATAAGGTGTTTGATTCACGTTCTTTCGGGGTACTTTATTAAGTAAATAATTAGCAGAAAGTATTGCTTCCCCCCACAAGTTCTGAGGTAATCCAGAACTTATTAACATGACATTCATCATTTCTTTTAAAGTCCTATTTTTCCTTTCAGCAATTCCATTTTGCTGAGGTGAGTAAAGAGTGGTGGTTTGATGAATTATTCCATGTTCTTTACAAAATTCACCAAAAGGTGATTCATATTCACCACCTCTATCACTTCTAAGTTTCTTGATTTTCTTACCAAGTTGATTTTCAACTTCATTCTTATATTGAATAAAAGTTTCCAAAGCTTCATCCTTAGTTCGAATTAAATAAACATAACTATATCTAGTATAGTCATCCATAAAAGTGATAACATACTTTTTCCCACCTCTAGTTTGAATTGATTTAAAATCACAAATGTCATTATAAATTAATTCAAGTGGTTCCGTACTTCTTTCAATTGAATGAAAAAGGAGTTTTAGATAATTTTACCTCAATGCAAATTTCACATTTATGATTTGAATCAATGTCAAATTTAGGTAAACATTCCATATTAATTAATCTACGCAAAGATCCATAATTAACATGTCCTAGTCTACCATGCCATAAATTTGAAGGCTCAAGCAAGTAAGAAGAAGAGGTAGTATTATTAATAACTGAGGGTACAACGGTCATTACATTTAACTTGAAAAGGCCATCAGACATGTAACCTTTTCCTACATACATCCCATTCTTAGTAAGTACAAATTTATCACTCTCAAATACTAGCTTAAACCCATTCTTACTCAACAGAGATCCGGAAATAAGATTCTTGTGAATGTCCGGTACATGCAGCGCATTGTTGAGAGTGAGTTCCTTTCCAGATGTCAACTTAAGTACAATCTTTCCTTGTCCTTCAACTTTGGAAGTTGAGGAGTTGCCCATAAAGAGTTGTTCACCATTGTCCACTGTAGAATAAAATGTGAACATCTTTTTGTCGGCACAAATATGGCGAGTAGCACCAGTGTCCACCCACCATTCTTTAGGATTTCCGACAAGATTTGCCTCGGAAACAACTGCAGAAAGATTTATGACATCTACACCATTGGAAATTTTATCAATTTCGGTCATTTTGGCTTTAGCAACATTCTTACTTGATCTTCCTTTGCCCGATGTCCATTTTTGTTACAAATGTAACATATGCCATTAAACTTGTACTTCTTAGTTTCCCCTCCTTTAGATAGCATTCTCTTCTGCCATCTTTTAAAAACAGTTCCTAAGAATTTCTCTAATTTTTCACCATGATTCACTGGCACAGTCCCAACATAAGGAGAGGTTGGCATAATGGCAATCACCATACCAGTACTGGTTTGAACATTAGTTTGACCAGTTTTAGTAGTCATAAATTCTAAATTATAAAATAAAATTATAATTAAAATTTTATACTACACAGAAAATTTAAACCAAAAAACACAGAATTTTAAATTCTGTAAAAATAAAAGAAACAAGAATTGTAACTTTTATTTCCAATTAATTTGAAAATAAAATAAAATTTTATTTAAACAAATTAAACCAAAACTACATAAATAAATTATGTTAAAATAAAAGAAACAAAACAAAATGTAACTTTTATTTTCAATTAATTTGGAAATAAAATAAAATAAAATTTTATTTAACCAAAATAATTCCACACAGAAAACTAATCCAAATTCACAGAATTAAATTCTGTAAAAATAAAAGAAACAAGAATGTAACTTTTATTTTCCAATTAATTGGAAAATAAAATAAAATTTAATTTAACCAAATTAATTCCACACAGAAAATTAAATTTCTGTAACACTTCAATAATTAAAATATTGAAACAGAATTTTAATTAATGAAAACTCAGAAAATAATTTCTAAAAACCAAAATTAATTTTCTAACAAAATTCCATAAAAATATATTCTGAATTGTTAATGACACCAGTATCGTACTACTAGTTGTCAAAGAAAATAGACAGTATATTACTACTATCTGTCAAATAGCATATAATCACTATTTGTTTTTCCAACCAGAATATTATTTTGTAAATCCACAGAAAATAATTTTCTTAAAAGAAGAAAGAGAAAAAGAAACAAACGAAAAATTCTGTAAACAGAATAATTCGAATCTGTCTTAAGATTGTTGGAACAATCTTCTGTGTAAATGAAATAAATAAAAACAAAGCCAAACAAAATAAAATAAAACTTACAAAATTTATTTTGTTGAACCGAATTTAAAAATCAAAAGACCAAGTCGAGTGTGTGACACTCTGTCCTTAAGACAGATTTGCCCCGCTACGATGCTTATGGTTATGTGGCGTCTATCTCCCAAGATACAATGATCTTAACCAATTTGTAGTAGCACTCCAAAACAAATTGTTCGGCGAACCAAACCTGTGTTTAACTCTCTGAATATTTATTTCTAAAATTATATATGAAGAATAATGCACTAAAAGGAAATGGACAGCAAAAGGACAAAATTTCAGACTCAATGTTTTTTCCTTTCCCGGATTCGGACGGCTGGAAAAGTGATATGTATAATAGCCCACTAGGTGACCTTTCAAACATACCCGAACATGTATTTATTTGAAAAGAAAAGGTGCACCACTATATCAAACACGGTTTGACCGTTGCAAAAAATTCAAACAACTTGGAAAAAGTTCCGTTGGTGGAAATTTGAAAAGTTTGTTTGTTAGTACAACTTATTCCAAACTGATAGAGCTTTATTCATTAAACTATATGGAATATATATATTAAACTATTTGAATAGTTTAATAAATAATGAAAGAGGTATAAATTTTAGGAAATCATTTAGGAACCTAAAATTAAAATTTAGAATTAAATTACATTCCCACAATTACAAACTTTAGGAAACCACTTAGGAATCCAAAATTTGAATTTAGAATTAAATTAAATTCCCACAATAATTTTTATTGAAAAAATTCAAAAGAATTTTATCTACAAAAAAAATTAATGTTAGACCTGAAAACGACGTCAACTTCCCATTCACTCATAAATGGTTTTGACGTACCGCCTTCACCGTGTGACTTGCCATGCGGTAAGGAACACTTCACCTCTTCGGACCCACCCCAAAAGACGTTTGAGGCCCACTCAATTTTGGGCTCAAAGTTGGCCCAAAATATGTTTATATTAACCATTTTTCCAACATAGACTACGGAAAAATACACTTCCGTCGACTAAAAATGCCGACCAAACAAAATTTAGTTGCCAAATGTACAAACTTTAGCTAAAATTTTTAGTCAACATTGACTTTCAGTGACTAAAAATGAAGTTTTGGCGACTAATTTTTTATAGCTGAATGTGTATTTTGTTGTAGTGAATTTGAAATTAAAAGAAATATAACTTAAATTATCGGATTAATAATCGAAACACAATATCAATTATTATTAAATATTACTGTATTTCAAGATAAAATATTAAATTATTACAAAATAATTATAATGATTTATTTATGCATGGTTACCACCAGTAAATTATAAGAAAAAAGAATTATGTTAGGAATTTCAAATAATGTATAAATTTTTTATTAAACTTGAGGCCTATGCACGGGAATTTGTGTGAAACTCATACAAAATTTGACTAAAAATTTAGGAGTTGTTTGGGATAATATAAATAAGTTCACTCTTTGACTTTTTATGAAATATAGATTGGATATGGATTGGGTTTAAAGTGATGTAGTAGAAAGTTGATACGATTTCAATAAGATAATGTAACTTAGGCCTCGTTTGGAAACAAGTTATTTTAGTAACTTTTTGAATTTTTTGTTAAAATATGAGGTAAAAAAATCAGTATGTTTGGAGTGACTTTTTAATTTTTTATAAAACGATGTACAAAAAATAAAGATAAAATAGAATTTTTAACTTTTTAATATAAGTTACAAGATTTTTGATTTTTTAATAATTTTTTAATTTTTTATCTAAAATATTAACTCGTCAAACGTGACCTTAAATACAAACAAAATTTTAATAGATTATTTGAGGGTACAAATCTTTTGAAGGAAGAGATTTGACCACTCTCAATCCTCCTCGTTTCTCTCTCTCTCCCTCAAACCTCTCGTCTTCCTATCACCCACGCTCTCTCTTTCATTATCTTTATCTCTCTCTCTCTCTCTCTCTCTCTCTCTCTCTCTCTTATATCTTTCTCTCTCACTTTCTTGTGTGTGTGTGTGTGTTTTTGTTTTTTTGTTTTTTTTTTTTTTGGGTCAAAGCTTTCATTTCCCTCACCCTCCCTCCGATCCATCTCTCCCTCCCTCCGTCCGTTGGCATCGGATGATTTTTTTTTTCAAACAGAAGTTGTCGGTTCGGGTGACGGTGTGCGGCAAAACCGATCCGACCCGTGTACAGTGATGCCTCCTCAATCTTCAGGTAATGTTCTTACATTATTTTCACTGGTTGATCTGTATTACATTTTTTTTTCTTCACTTGATCTTGATCTAATATTTCCATTGTCGTTTCTTTTAGGGAAAATTACAAAAAAATAAAAAAATATAATTGCAGGACCTTGTAACAAAATAAATTTTGAGTTATTAACTTTGTTAATTTAAACTCTGTACTTTTTGTTTATCTTCAATTTGAACCATTTATATCTGTTCATTGCATTGAATTTTTTTTAGATGGGTCATTGCATTGAGTTTGATAACTAAAATATTATTTTTTATTAGAAATGATTTACATTGAAAATAAATTAAAATATTATGGCTAAATTAATAAAATTAAAAATTTATATCGTTATAAATTCAAACCCTGCAAAAAGAAAATTTTGTAATTGTACTTTTTTTTCTATTTTAATTAGTATATATTAATTAACCTCTGGATCTAGACCAGAGACCAGCGCAAATGCTTTCTCCTTAATTCAAAGTAAATCGTTTTGTGTTTCATTCATTTGTAATAAAATAGGTTTATTTGGAAGTATTGGTGATGGCACGAGTGAAGTCGGAAAAAATTAAAATAAAGGTATTCTTTCTTTCCCTTCTTGCATATATATTATTTGGGAAATTCTAATATAAACCCATTTTTAAAGGGGTACCATATGCATCCAGTAATGTCATTTTCTTCTTTAGTTATGATTAATTTTCTTCTTTAGTTATAACTCTTGAGTTCTTTAGTTCCTTAGTTATGACATTATTTTAGTTAGGACTCTTGAGTTCTTTAGTTATGACATTTTTGTTTTAGTTATGACTCATAAAATTGAAGTTATGCAATTTTTTTTTTTAGTTATAAAGTGCATATAGTGTTTTCCATATTATATATTCAGTTAGATACAATTTTTTTTTATTATATAATTTATTGTTTGGTTTATATTTTATTTGGGGGACTTACCTGTAGGTCTTAATAGGTGGACTTTTTGTCCAATAGGTTCTATGATAATTAATAGTGTTTTTCATCAAACACTATTTAAAAAGTCACTAATTGTTAATTTTCAGTGTTAGTTTGAAAATTGTCACAAAAAGTTACTAATTATAAGTTTTACTGACAGATTAGAAAAATTATCATAAAAAAGGTCATTAATTTTCAACTTTCAAAGGTCATTAATTTTCAAATTTCAACGACAATATGGAAATTTTGTCGCGGAAAAACATCACTAATTGTAAGTTTTAGCGACAATTTATAAAAATAAAAAAAAGGATCAATAATGGTCAATTTTTAGCGACATGCAAAAAATTGTCACAAAAAATTATTTTTAGTGATGATTTTACTAGGACTTATTTTCAATAGCATAGTTGTCAAATTGTGAATCGAATCGTTAATTGAAATGGCCTTGTACCGAATCACGAATCGAATCGTGAATCATAAAGATTTGGTCACTTTTCTAAATTACTTGGAAAAATATATCTACGCACTTGAATGTTAAATATATTTTATAAAATATTTAGACTTAAATCAATAAAAATGTTATTTTGAATGATGATAACGTGGTCTAATAGGTAAGTAGTTAACACAGGTTCCCTTGTTAGATCACCATTTTACCTTTTCCTTTTTTTAGATATTGCCATTCTTAATAAAGAAAGTAAATAGAGTCAAACTCTCAATTTTCAAGTAATAATAACTTAACAACGATGTTGATATTTCATAAGCATATCTTTACAAGTAACAATGACCCAATAATAAAAAACTTGCAGAACCATTAGATTTAACTAAGCTCACCCCATAAAATATTGTAGTATATTTATTTCAATAAAATAGCAATAGATAATTCATATTGCATGTTATTTTAACTTTAAAATCTTTAGAATATACATTTAAGAATTTTTTTAAAGAAAAAAAGAAAGAAGAAATGGTTAAAAACATGTTGGGTGCGACTAAATTTGATTAGATCCTATTAAAAATTTCTTAATCTCTAAAATAACAACAAATCATATATATATTGGTTATTTTTGTACTAAACATTACTAGAAGTTGTATTATGTTATTTTAACTAAAAAAAGGAAGAAAAGAAGAATAGAAATATGTCAGACATGATAGTTTCAAAAATTGCATGCGTCGTAACAAGTGAATTGAATCGTGAATCAATCGTGAATCATGCAATTCAGTTGAGCTTCACTTCCAAAATAGATTCACCCAATGTTGTGAAAGGCGCGTAAGGCGCAGCGAGGCGCAAGCTCTGCGACTGAAGGGACCTAAGGCGAGGTGTGATAGATAAGTCGTGTGCCTTCGCCGAGCCTTGGGTCAAGCGCAAACAGGCGCAAGGCAACGCTTAAGTGTGCCCTATGTAATTTTTTTTTTTTGGCTCTGATCTGAGTTTGAATGGGGCCAACCACATACGATTGCAACTCATACTACTCAATACCCAACAGTCGAGAGTCGAAGCCCTAAACTCTATCGAAGAAAGGTGTTGTCTCTTCTTCGCGTAGTCTGCAGCTCATCGCGACTTCGTCTTCGTCTTCATCTTCGCACAGGTGAGTCTTCTTCTTCTTCTTCTTCTTCGTCTTCAGGTGCTGTTGTCTCGTCTCTTTTTTTTTTCTTTATCCCTTCTCCTCCTCTTCTTCTTTCCTGTGCTGTCGTCTCGTCTCTCTATTTTTATTTTTTTTTTGATGCTGCTTCATCACTGGGGTTTTTTTTGGCTGGTGCTGCTGGGTTTTTTTTCTCTTTTTTTTTTTCCTTGTCTCTGTTAGGAAAAAAAAAATTACAAATAATTAATTAATCACACATTATATTACACAGAAATTATTTTCCATTTATTAAATTTGTTGTGTAAAAAATGACATTTGAAAGAAATAGAAAAGATCCGGCGTGGCAACATACCCATTTGGTAGAGCCCAATAAGTTGTCTCGATTACTTTTTATTTTAAAAAAAAATTGTCTTAGTACTATGAATGATTAGTCTATATCAATTTATCTATTTTTTACTAAGATTGTGCGCCTTGCTTCAATAAAGCCCACGCCTTGCCTTGCCTTGCGCCTAGGCCCCAAGAGACCTTTAGCGCCTTGGTGCGCTTTGAGCCTTTAAAAACACTGGATTCAGCCATAGATTCGTATCGATTTTTCAAAAATTGTGAATCGAATCGTGAATCGTAAGATTCTGATAACAGAGTTCAATAGGACTTGATGGGAATTAAGTCCAACTATTAGGACTTATTTTATTTATGTCTTTTTTATTATGTAATTTAGTGTATAGTGTAATTTTAATCATTTAGTATATAATTTTAATCGTTTATTATATAGCTACTCTACTCTTGTAATAATTCTGTGCACTTAGTAATTTGAAGAAATATAATTTGGACACCTTGAGGATTGTGAGATAGGGCCGACCCATACTGAAATTCGGTTTGAAGACCGATGGATCATTGTAGAGCTAAGAAGCACGAAGACTTCTGAAAGGGTGGCATGTCCATGTCAAACACTGATCCAAACGTGTCTTATTTTTTTTAAAATTTTTTTGACCCTCTTTTGACTCTTGGATGACATACGTGTCCATTGCTTGGACACACAAAATTAATTATAAGTTTGAATAAAATAACTTAGAATACGATGATAAGAGAAAAACAATGTCAATTTAAAGAAATTAGTGTTATATTGCATATATTTCTTGTCTTCAAATGATATATTTATATATATGACATATAATAAATATATAAAATTATATATTATGTGCATGTTCCCTATGTGTCGTGCCTGGCATTTTTTGAAAATTTTCGTATCGCTTTGTCCGTGTCCGTGTCCGTGCTTCTTAGTTGTAGAGGATCATACTTTGGAGTAAAGCCACAAAGATGTATTACAGCTGTGCCTTATTTGAGAGAAAAATTGCAAGAAGCTGTATTTTACATAATTGGTTTCAATTAGATAAATAAATAAAAAAATAGATTTTGTAGCGAGTAATTCTAATTTCCATCAATTAATGGAAATAAATTATGCTATCTCAAATTATTATTCTGTCTTCTTTTAAATTAGTTTTTAGTTTTTTGTGTTCCTAATTTAAGTTCTAGAAGCTAGATTTAATATATATATATATATATATTGTGGACCAATTAGTAGTAACCAAATTAGTTAAGATTAGTTGATCAAAATCTTTAGATGAGCATATTTGGATATGCACGTTCGATTGTTGTTTCTTTGTCACTTTTGGTTATTACAAAGCATTAAAGAATGGCTTTGGAAAGAAAAAAAAAAAAAATAGCAATGAAGTGATAATAGTATTTAATGACTTGAACTTACAAAAAAGTTTTCACGAATTAAAAGGTCAAAGTTGTAGATCAAAGATTGAACATAGTGCATTATAACATGATTTGGGAGATGTAGTAGGTAGATTGCCTTACCCTTTTTTTCCTTTTTATTTTTTTGGTATGTATATGGAGAAACTGATTCTTGTGACTGTAATGCATGAGATGCAAAAATTTTGGATCACAAATATTAAGTTGTTTAGCTCTATTCTTGACATAATGGTGTTTCATGTAGAAGATGTTCTTGCCTGTCATTGTAACTTTGGATGAAACCACTAGACATTTCACACTGCTTTTAATTGATTGCAACAACAAATGTCTGGTTTGTCTGGATTCCATGAGGATAACCAAGAATCACCGTATTGTTGGCCAACTCGTAAGTATACTGTAGGTTATAATTTATGCTCAGTCCTAATTCCAGGGAGAGTATAGTTCTACTTTCAAAAAAATGTATTAATTCTTTAAATATCATGTAAGAGGGAGAGGTGGGTGAATCGCAAGATCATTCGAGAAAAACTAGAACCCCACGGTTGGGAATTGTGCCACATGGAAAATATTCCTTGTAAAGAAACAGTTTCTTTAATTACTTCTTCTTTTCTCTTAAGCATGTGAGATATATTCTTTGTTGTTGGCTATGCCTACCAATCCCTCACTTGTCCCTTTCTACTGGTTTTTCAGCTTTTTGTTTATCTTCCAAAATTATGGAATTCCTCTCCCTCCATTTTATTTCCAATTTATTTGATGGGATTATGGCATGCAGCTTTGATTGTAGTATCTACATAATAGCTTTTATGGTTTCTCTTGTGATCTCTGATGAGGTTCCCCTTCTTAGTGAGCTAGTATTGTCATGATTGAAGACTGGCTAAATAGGGAAGAAAGCTTAAAAACTACTTTAGATGAAGTTTCATGATCTTGTAATCTTTTCCTTTCCTTGTTTTTGTGAAATTGAAGCTATAAGAGTGCAATACTGTGAATGAAACTTTCATATTTTAAAGAAAGCTTACAGACTACCTTTGGATGAAGTTTCATGATCTTGTAACATTTTGCTTTACTTATTTTTATGAAATTGAAGCTATAAGATTGTAATACCCTGAATAAAACTTTCATATTTTACTTACTCAACTCTTGATACCTTTTCATTAAAAGATGATTTACTTCAAGGCTACCTCTAGCTTACAAATCCCACTTCGAAGGTTGATTTCTGCTAATTTATTTTCCTTGCCCAGGGGTCCAGATGCTAATTTCTTATATCCATGAGGACAACACACTGCAGAATGACCAAAATACCCATTACATATTTATTGAAAAACCATTTATATAAACAGTTACACACGTGCGCAGGCACATAAATTACTCCCTACCTGTCCATCTCTCTCTCTCTCTCTCTCCAATTGGCGTCTTTCAACTAGACTTGAGTTACGGTTTTTGCTTTTTTGGATATGAAGTGTTGATGCTTTTGTTGTTACATATATATTTATTGGAAACATTTGCATCACAAAATAAGGTATGTGTTCAAATAATTTTGACATTGTGATTTTTATCTGTTGGAATGTTCAGTTTCTTTAAAAGTTCTATATGTACAAATGAGCTTATACTTTTCTTAAGTTATCTGTTGAAAGCTACGTTACACGTACTCAGGTATGAGTGTCAGGTGCGGGTATGTATTTAAGGGTCAGACTCGTCAAATCCCTAATTGAGGGATACGTGGGTACGTCTAAAAAGTATCCAAAAATTAGATGCAGGTACATGGATACGACTAAGCAAAAATTAGTAAATGCATTTAAATTGTAAAATAAAATTAACTTTAAAATTATGTGCCAACAAAATAGATAATTCATAAAACATCTACCAAATGTAACTTCATTATATGCCACAAAAATAAATTATCTAAAAAACATATACCAAAATAAATTATCCAAAAAACATAATATCCCAAAAGGTTCATGCATACTTAGTTCTTGAAATGAAAAAACACAATTTCTTTGAAGTCTTCTACTCCTAGACTAAGAATAGATAACCACAAAGAAACTAGTTGACTGTCACCCTTCTTCAATTGGTTGAATCTTCAAGAACAAGTTGTTGACTTTAATTATCATCATCAAAAGTCATTGTTTGCATCTTCAGATCATCAAGAGAAAGTTGTGCTAGCTCCATCATTTCACACCTTTCTATACCAAACAAATCTCCACTTGTATGGGGAAAAAAAATACAAAAATCATTTTCGATAGGTCATAAAGAATACTTGAATTACTATTTATTTTATTGAAAGTGAGTGAACTTACATATGTCCCAATATTTTGTGGGTCCTTCTTTATACTCCTTGCTCTTCCTTGACAATAGGCGAAAATTGCAATGCACAAACACTAGGTCTTCAGCTCTGTTTGTTGCTAGTCGATTTCTCTTAAAGCTTTGAATTAGAGAATATGTACTTCAATTTCTCTCGCAATAAGAGGAAGATGTTGGCTGCACAAGCAATTTAAAAGCCAATGCTTGTAGTAATGGTGTGGAAGCACCATGATTGGCCTACCAATGAAAGAGGTTCCTCAAACATTACATCAATGACATGAGGCTGGTTGAAATAATTTGACCCACTAGAAAAGGCTCCATATTCAGCATAAACTTTTCGTAAATCAGTTTGATTAGGAAACAACCTCTTCAAACATTTGCTTCTATTCATGGAGACTTCATGATCCTCATGTGGTGATATTCGTGGAACTCCATTACTACCATCTTGGAGCCAAGCATGACAATAGTATTTTGGAACCAATAAATGCGCCATACAATGTAAAGGGGTATTGCTTTTGTTCCGTGTACTCTCCAAAACTTGGTGAATTGACATTAAAGAATGTTGATTGACCAGCAATTATGTCTATCCCTTCATGGTCAAAGATAATTTTTTTCACATTTTCAATCTTGGTATTCCACGTCATATACTAGATGTAAAACTAGGGAGTCTGTGTCTGCTTGCCTGAACATGTCAATGATAGGTTTAGTAAAGCTTATATGGTAATCTATGCTATCCCACCATGAGTCATCCGCAATGCATTGTTTTACCTCACGAGCTTTAATCTCAGCCACATTATCGCTGTCTTCCTTATAAATTTCCAATTTGCATCCATCACCGTTTTCTCAAGGGATGTCTTAACTTCCCTTAAACGTAAAGCCATGATGATGTTGGATGCAAACCTGGTTTCTGCCACACTAAACAATCTCAAACTAGAAATTGTGAATATTCATTAAAAATAGACAATGCCATGATATGGTTGAGAATAAAATTGCAAATATTCTGCACCTCAGAAACTAAATATGAAATCCACTTACTTTGATCATATTGAGCAGATTTATCTAGTGGGGCACATATGCTCTTCAATGCCAAATTCAAACTGTGCACCACACATGGAGTCCAGAAAATATGTGGATACTTGTTTTCAATGCTCAACCCAGCAGCTTTGTAATTGGATGCATTATCGGTAACAATCTGAACAACATTTGCTTCTCCAACCTCTTTGATTGCTTTAATGAACAAACTTGCAACATATTCTCCATCTTTACAATTCCACTTGAATCAATAGCTTTGACAAACATTGCTCCTCCTGCAGATGATGCCATGACATTGATGAGAGGACGTCATTGCCTAGTTGACCACCCGTCGGAGAGCAATGAAACCCCTTTCTTTTTCCATGAATCTCTGATAGGTTGCAGCAGCCTATTAACATGCTCTTTTTCTTGGGAAAGCAAGTGGTACGTAGCCTATCATATGGAGTGTAGCCTATCATATGGAGTGTAACCTATCAAGCTGTTGTTTGCTAAACTCTGAGAATACTTTCGGAAGTAAGGTGACCTTGCCAGATTGAAAGGTAAGCCACTTGCATAGAACATTCATGCACATTCGTTGTCAGCAATATCTCTCTGAGCAACATTAAATGACTTGTGCAAAGCACCTGGCAGAGCCATTCCTTTGCGTTTTTTCTATTGTAGGAAGTCTGAGCCTTCAGGTAAAGTGACATATTCTGCTTTTTTTTCTTGCATTTAATGCTTGTTGAGCTTTTCTCACTTCAGTGCCATCATGTTCCTTTCTTATAGCTTCAACATCATCTCTTACGGATTTCCAAGGTTCAACTCCATGATTTGGAAGCTTCACCGGATGAGCTTTCACCTTTGTATATGACCCAGTTACTTTTTTGTTGCTATAATTACAAGACCAAGTTCTATTTCCACCTCCACCTGAAGACACATTGAAAACCTTCACATGATTCCACAATGGCTTGTCATCGAACTCTGCTCCATGACATGCTACTGGACGCAAGGTTTTCTTCTACTTGGCTGAAGATTGGGAGGAAGACATTGTCCCCCTATAGATGAAATTAATCTGTAATGGAAGGAAGTTTTGAGAGATTTTTTTTTTGGGCTAAAAGATATAACCAAAGTCTCTGTTATATGCAGATAAAACTAGTGGAAGGTGGAAAGGTACTTTTGGGAGTTGTTTCTAAGAATGATTAGAGGTTTGTGGCTGGCAAATAAGGCTTCCCAAGGAAGGAAAGCAATGAAGTCATTTTGTTGATGGAACAAACATGTAGATACAATGATTTTATTTTATTTTTTTATATTTGCAAGGCACATTTAATGTTAATGTCAGTCACTGCTAATGACAACTAAAGAAATGAGTTTTTTATATTTGAAGTACTGTATCAAAGAAATGGCAACCAAGTTAGTATCTTGTTTGGTTATAATTTTAATTTGTTTATGTCTATTGGTTATAGTTTTAATTTATTTATGTCTATTTGGTTATAGGTTGATTGACCAGCAATTCTTACTTTTTAAATTTATTTAATCTAGATACACAAATTATGTACTTTTTATGTCTATTTGGATTAGATGTATCCAAAATATAGGTTTTTTTTGAATATTCTAAAACAAAAAAAAAAAAAATTAGAGTATTGACTAACTTTTCAAACTATTTGAGGGAACTAACCCGTTTTTTGAAATTGCATATTAAAAATGCGATTTAAAATTTAAATCGCATCTTCAAGATGCGAATTCAGTACAAAATTACATTTTCAAAATGCAATTTTATGATAACATGGACTGCTATCGTGGCAAATTGAAATTATGTATTGTAAATGTGATTTCATTGAAACTGTGAGTTGAAAATGCGATTTCAATAAAGACATGGGTCAAAATTGAAATTTGAAAATCATAATAGGAGAAACCCTATTCATCTCTATTTTCCTTCTATTCATCCCACAACTCCTCTTACCGTTTTATGTAGTCGGTTCATCCATCGCTGCAGCTCCATCTACCCCCGCCTTTAACCCGCACCACCTCCGCCACCACCATCACAAACTAACTATACCACAGGTACCTGCTCTCTCTCTCTCTCTCTATCTATATGAGTGTTGTTCTATTTTTTTCTTTGATGATTTTGGTTGAATTGTGTTACATTTTTTTCTTGGGTAAATTACACTTTGCACCCTTGCATTTTCCACCAAATCTCACTTTGGTCCCTACATATGAAATCATAACAGTCAACTCCCTGTCCTTCTGGTCAAATCCCATTTTGGTCTCTATACATAAAATTATGACAATTAACCCCTTATACTTTTGGTAAAATCTCACTTTGATTCCTATACAAGTGTCAATGTCCCCTTTCTGTTACTCAATTGTTTAAATCTTTAACAAAATCTAATCATGTGATAAGAATGTGACTACAACATGAGGGTAAGAAAGAAATATCATCTATATTTTCCATCAATACACATTTTATCTCAAAATTACATCAAAATATGATTGTATTAGGCTAAAATAAAACGCAATTTGTGAACAATTAAGACGATGAACTAGGGTTTTGCATAAATTGGAATCACAAAACTTTATTTTTCACAGTAACAGAACCTTCTGTCTATTCATCTTTCTTTCTCTTTATTTTTTTGTCGCATTATTTATTTGTTTATTTATTTCAAAAGCTCTACTTTCTTGCCTTTTCGTCCCAATTTTTACCATACGAACATATATATATATATATATATATGTTGTATTATATAACTTTCATGTGCTTATCACATAGGGTAAAGTGTATTGGTAAGAAACATGGATGATTTGCTTCTCTTAACTTTGTCTCGTAGTCACATTTTTTTGTTAAAAATTTAAAAATGAAATAATAGAAGAGGGACATTGACACTTGTGTAGGAATCAAAATGGGATTTGAGTAAAGTGCAGGGGGTTGACTGTCACGATGTAGACACCCCATTTTTGACTGCCCTTAAGACTTGGGCGTTACTGATGGTTTACTTGGTGGAGAAAGGTGTGCAGGGCAAAGGTTCAAATTCGTCAGCAATGAGAGAGTCAAATCCCAACTTCATCCCCCTTTTGGACCAAAACAATCTTGATCAAAAGATTTTAGATCTTAAAATCCTCTCTTTCAAAATGTTTTGAAAATAAAATTCCTACGATGTTCCGACGCTCACATTTCAGTAAATGTTGCGCTTTTCGGTAAACCGATCAAGGACAAGTTGGAGATGAATGAAAGAGAGATGAAATCTTTGAAAAATCTTTCAAAACACTTTGTTTAGGGGTTTGGAGTTGAAGAAAAGAGGAAAGGAGAGGAGAAAACTAGTTTGGGAGAAGTTCGACATGAATCCGGGGAAGAGAGAGTTGAGCAGCCCTCGCTGAATCGTGCTTATTCATTTGAATACTTGGATTTTAGCTATGAGGCCACCACCGTTGGAAAGCTTACTTCCGGGGCTTCATTTTGCACTCAAGAATCTCCTAGAGCCAAGTCCGGGTGCGGGAGATATGATTGGTTGAAGTTGGGTATCATCCCGGTTGGATCGAATCTGTGCGGCTTCACCAAAATGGGCATAACTTTTTCCACAGGAGGAATTTTAATGCAAGGTTTGCGCCATTGGAAAGCTAACTTCCGGGGCTTCAATCTGGACACCAACCGGCCACTTTTGGACCTTGGCAGCCACCTATCGGCCATCCATTTAGCCGACCGGCCATAACAAATAGCAGGCCGACCATTTTTTGTGCCGACCGGCCATTTATTTGGCCGATGACCTCCTTTCATGGCCAATATGACCCTTTTGCATCCCTCAAGCATGGTGCATGCTAGCTGCGCTAGCTGGGATGCACAAACCCGTCCCCCCCATGCACACAGGTGGTTGTTTTGAGCCCTTGACCCCTTTTTTTTTGCACCCTTTGCTCAAGGCTTCTTGAGGAAGCCTTTACCCCTTATCTTAGCTTCCTCAAGAAGCTTACCAGCTGTCCTAGCTTCCTCAAGAAGCCTTGACTCCTTTGCCCCTTTCACTTTGAGAAGCTTAGAGCCATTTCCATTGCCTATTTAAGGGCCTCTCCTCCTCCATTGTAAAAGGTTGATGGGTTGAACAAAAAAACCAGACCTATACATATATATCTGATAAATATCCCTCTCTCTCTCTCTCTCTCTCTCTATATCTCCCTCTCTCTCCTCATTTGAGTGTGTTAGAGGGCTCTAAAGTGTGAGGTTCTTGACCCTTTACACTACACCTCCAAGCCTACTACCTCCACCATCTATTCAAACACCTTAAGGCTGATTTTCAGAGGCTAGGAGCTCATTTTCTGGACCAAAGAGCTGCTGTCACCTTTTGACTACAAGGGTAACACACTTTTCCCTCTTTGTTCCCCATTTTTGTACACACTTTTAGCCTGTCTTGCTTTCTGTTTTGAGCTTAGTGTATAACTGAAAAAAGTCTTGTTTTCAGCTCATTTTCAAGTTTGTTTAAGAACACTATTGTGTTTGGGGTTGTCTACCCCCTCTTAGGCCTTGTTTGGCCTCATTTTTATGCGTTTTTTGTGAGCTCCGGAACCACCTTGTTTAGGCCTCCTCACCATTGAAATTTTAAGGGATTTCAGTGGTGAGGAGGGTGTCTTAAGGTCCTAAGAAGGAGAGGGCCATCCCCTCTCCTTATTGTCTTCATTACTTGCATTTTTGGCCTTACAAAGGGGCCTATGTTTGCACACATCTTGAGCTCGGTTCAGGCATTTTTCAGTGGGTTTTAGGACCCTCAGAACTCATTTTCAGAGTTGGTTTGGTCTTGCTAAATGTCTATCTTGCATGTGCTTAATAACTCCTTGCATGGCCCTCTAAAGTAACTCATCATTTTTGCATGCCATGGTTGCATATCAGTGGTTATTTGGGCCTATTTTCACATGTTTTATTCACTGATTTTTGATGGTTTGGTGAGATTCCATGTGCATCATATACTTGCCATACAACCCATGTTTGCTAGTCAAAGTTGCATGCTATTTTAGTCCATCTTGCTAACATCTTTTGGCCATGCTTTGAACTGGAAATATGCATGTTTTGGGACTGTCTTGCATCTGTCTTCATGCTTCATGATCAAATAATGCATGCTTTGTATAGCTATAGGCCAATGCGTATGCCTAGTTTTGTGTTTCGGGGCCATTCCATGCATCGGGTGCCATGTTTCCATGATTCGGGGCTCTGCTAATGGATATACCACATATGACTGCTATGATTGCAATATGATTCTGAAATGAGAAACTGATTCACGGATGATAATTGACTATTTTCAATACTATGAGGACATCATTCATAACCCCTTTACAAAGTTGTTATTCACTAGGCTTTAGCTCACTGTTTTATGTATATACGTAGGTAACCAAACTCAAGATTAGAACTAGTGGCATCGACCTAATCCCTGTTTTGTCAAGACAACTCTTGTGCCTCACTGCAAGGTTCCAAATGGTCAAGCTCCAAGGTTTTTGGGCGATTTAGAGTTCACCCTCTTGTTTTTGCATATAAATGGTTTGAGTGATACCGAGACAAGTTTTATATTTGATGATGACTGTGGATCGACCCAAATTCAACTCTGACTCCAAATATAACAACAAAGAACAAACACAAACAATCAAATTGATTATCAAAATGGTGTTACAAATTCAGAGAACAATCAAGGAAAACAATCGAAACCCAACAAAAGTCAACTAACACTCACTTCGATGCCGAAAGAGGATTGGTGGAAATCGTAGAAGGATCGAATGCGAAGACAAGATGTGGCCCAGAGCTCGTCATCGGAGGCCGCTTCGGCGACAGTGAGAGCTGATTTGTCGAGCCTCGTTGGGGTCTTGGGTGCGCAGAGGTGAGAGGCGATGGAGATCGGACGGCTGAGACAGTGGGAAGCGAACCTGGGCTTGAATGATGACGCTGATGGTGTCCTACAGGGTTCAGGGAACCTGTCCCAGGATTTTGGCAGTTTTCAGAGAAGCAGGGCAGTGTAAACAGAGGCAGCAGTGGTATGGTACGGGCTTTCGGGGCAAGATAAATCCGAACATGCATCATTCACGCATCCCGAGGCGGGGGCAGCGGCCATCTTCTCTTTGCATTTAATTTGTTAATTAAATTAGGAATTTTGTAATAATTAATTTATTATTATTTATTCGGACTGTAATATTTATTTGGACCCTCCGAGTGAGGGCAATTGTGTAATAAGTGTGCGTGAGTGTGTGTATGTCTTACAGCCCCACGTCTTTCTTCCCTTTTATTTACCCGCTTATGATGGTAGACTAGGGCATATTTAAATTAGCATACCTTATGCTATGCATGCGTGCATTCATACATTTGTCTTGCATGCACCGGGCTCGGCGCATCATTCTAACTGCATTTGTATTTCAATTCCAAATTGAATACGTGTTAGTTGTAGCATTTC